ATATTAATTTGAAGGATAGTTTTAAACATTGAAGGAAATTTAAATATTGAGTTCCGTATATTAGAAGATTAATCGACTTATGTAGAGAATTTAGTTTATAAGTTTTACAGTAATCTTATTCACAGAACGTGACTTAGTTGTTATGTATATTAATAATAGATTGTAAATTAGCGATGGTATATTAGTATTAGTTGTTTCTTAAATAATTTTCCATGCTAGCAAATAGGTTTTTATATTTTTTATAAGTGCAACGATGTGTAGTTTCATAGGTTACGCTGTGCGCCTTGTGAAACTTTCTTTTCCTGGCATGCTGAAGTTCAATGAACTGCGTCATAATAAAACATGCTATTCAGAAAGAGTATTAAAGTTCAACTTGTTTGCGAAATAGTGACTAAGGTTACTTCCCACCTTCAGAGGCGGAAGAAACCGTTTTTTATTTTATTAGGCTAGATTGAAGTTAGACATTTTACCTAACGTTTATAACAAAAAGAAAAATTTTAAAATCTCAATAAGCGTCCGACTTGTTTAGGAAGACGTATTTTCAAAGAAAAGTCAATAAATCAAGAAGGTGTCATAATCTCGTAAATGGCCGAACCCCTAAGTGAATATCAGCAACAATTTCATGACATTTGCATATTTTGTTTACATCGCGCACTTGACAAAATTCACGCGTGGAAGTTCTCTGCTAGTGGAAAGTCTTTTCTCCTGAATAAAAAAACATAAATCAAAATTAGAGAGGAGTCCTTGGGCAAAGAAAAAAAATGGCCCAAAGAAGGGCGAAATGGCGCCATTTTGTCAGGAAAAAAACAGTCTTGGTACTCCTCCCCACCCTGGCATCCAAATTGCAAACAAAGAAGCCGCCACCAAATCTACATTTGTCGTACATAAGGTTAAAATCGAAGTTTCCTTTCAATAAGCAAGTACCGGCCCTGATACAAAAACATGGGCAATCGCCTCGAAATCACGAATAAACCTACCCCTCCTAAACTAATTTCAGCGACAAAGGTATTCCTTAAGCTGTCTGTCGATTCGCTGCTTTGCTTTTCAACAGTTTCTCCAGCTTTACCTTTTTTTCCGCGGGTTTTCTCTTTGCCAACTTTGCCCATTACTTAACGTTCAACAGAGCGAGATAATAAAACCTGACTGCTACGCGATACATTCCCCGGGAAAATCTTGATCCTTCATCATTGACGCCAGGATCGGAGGTCCTGTCTTCCCCGTTGGTTAGCGGTTTCAGGAGGCGAGATGATCTTCTGGTGTGGCGCTAGTTGTTTACAAGCCTTTAAGAGCTAAAATCTCGCATTTGATTTTGAGAGGAATACATCCACATTGAGCGAATTTATAGGGTATGTATATAGATTTGACCGAGTTTCGTGAATTTCGCCAAAACATTCCAGGGATAATGAAGAACGAAAGTGTGTCAGAAAGTTTCGATAAATGACTGAACTTCGTTTTTCTCTTTTCGCAGACTCATTAGCTTACTTCATGAGCACTTCAATCCAAATAATAAACTGAAAAAATTCAATGGAGCCCATGGAATATTGGCTCCATATCAAAAAACCTTTGAAAAAACTATCTATAAAATGTAACGGCCAACATCGAGGAAAAAGTTATGGGTATCCCCTACGGTGGCTGCGAATACATTGATATCATAAGGAAGGCTGTATACCTCTAATCTCGCGAACTCGTCCAAGACAAACATACCTTTCAAGTTTGGCTCCCACGACGTTTTGCACGAAGTGTAGATTTTTAATTTGCTTATTTCAGACCAGAAAGGAAAATTTACAATTTCTATTTAAACAACACATGTATAGTTCACGAACTAAGTCAGGTGAATAAATAGCTGAAAATTAAATTGCCATTGACATAGTTTTATAATTTACCATTGGGAAATGAGAGAATCTGAAGCTTGCTGAGGCATCATGATTTCTTAACTGGCAAGATCTCTCTCAAAGTTCAAAAGCTGGCTCAGCTCTTTCAATCACCAAAGTTAAGAGGAGAAATCAGTTAGAATGATCAAATCTGTCGATTGTAATAGTTACGTGACTCTTATAAATACGTCGAGAGTGGTCATTTAAATTATAAATGGAAACTTTAAACTAAAACTACGAGCTAATACAGGTGAGAAAATTAATTACTTAAGCTACAGTAATTAAGCCTCTAACCTTCAAACTAATACAGGTGAATAACTATGTGGAAAAATAATGAAATTAATAANAATGTTATCTTGATTTCTAACAGAAAGGGATCCTTTGAGCATATTAGTAATTTCTAAGCTACCAAAATTATTTGCAAAAGTAAGACGTTGTCTTGGCTCCTTTCAAAAACTTAAAGCAAGGGAAAATGCATTTATGAGAATGGAAGCATTTTAATCGTGTTGAGATATCGCGAATTTTAAGCTTGGGAGATCCCTCGCAGAGGCAAAGCCTTGATTACGCTCCTGATCCTGTTCTTCTTAAAATGAGGGATATTAAACACGAATTATTATTTAATTTGTCTCTGTACTCGGGTTTATTTAATGAGCTAAGCTGTGTTAAGGTGGAGCGCCTTTGCCTCCAAGGTTCAAACGTTTGTTTTAATTTTGCATCACCAAAACTGAATGAAAAACATACCAAGGCAGACTTGAGGCTCTTATTTTAACTAAGCTGCATCACCTATGTACTTTAAAAGCTAATCTGCAGTGATATGTTTCGATATCAAGGATTACAGGAATTCAAAGAGATGTTGGGGCAAAGGACTGTAACCCTACATTTCAAATTCTGGTTGTGCGTACCCAGGAATCACTTCGTTAACGATAATATCTTCTAGAAACACTGCTTCGTTATTTATAATCTCAGTGAAAATTATGACAACTCCCAACTCAGTCCTTATCACACTTTCACTTCTTCTGTGATTTATTTCCAAACGGACGAATCTATTTGATTTATCTGATAAAACAACGAATTCCGGTGTTAGTATTGACGCCATCTGTGCTTCTGTCCTTCAGTGGATTGTAAGTGAAAACCGATCAAGATGGGTGTGAAATTCAGCTATTTTGTAAAGCTTTGTAGATAACACGCTCTATACTACACCCTTATAAAACTGGAAAAGAAACAAGAAACTTCCCCCTTTAAGTGATATTAATGAAATTCTCGTAGTTAAAACTTCAACGATGGTGGCTGATATTTCCGGTTAGAAATGAAGCAGTGAGAGTAAGAAATAGCTGCCTATAGCTTATCAGATGACAGCATGGGAAAAAATAGCAACACAAGATCTGATTTCAAAAGCCATTTTATTGTTGACATGATACAAGTTTTTGATAGTGCTGAAAAAGAGATCACTTGCCCTATATCCTCCACCTAAGTCTAAGATCATTCCTGGAGAAGATAAAATGAAAAAAAATATGAGAGGAAAATAGAAAAAAAATACCAAGAGATCATTTCAAATAGCTTGAAGATGAGCGCATTTATCCTTATCATCACCAACGTCATCGTCGACATGTTATTGCAATTATATATTAAAATATGGTTTGCGAATGAGATACAGCTTTCTCTCATAGAGAGGGAAGAAAAAACGTTCAGAAACACCTCATATTAATCCCAAAAACCCTAACATCCGTATATGAACAGTATCCCCATACTCTTCTCTGTCCATACATTTCCCAAGCTGCTAACGAGGAGAATTTGTGTGCCAATCAAGAGCCTCTTTGGTTGGTGAACATTTCCTTTATTCTCGTGAAGTTAACGTTTGATTCAGCTGGGGTTGATAGTGTAAGGAGAAATGGGATGTTAGTCATTCTAGGGGGGTCAAAGTAGTAGTACAGAAGGTGGCTCCAAAACTCTTTCGCATATCGTAATTAGAGGTTTACCTGTGTATGCCTTTCGCTGAGAATATCCACTTTACATTTCGCACTCATCTATCTGGTTTTCTAAAAGAAGTTTTTGAAAGGAGATCTTTTTATACGTTCTCTCGTAGTGGTAACGTAAAACGATAAGCAAAAAGACCAACATAAAACGTAATTAATCACCATAAATAATCGAGAAAAATAAACATTTTTTCTCGTGACTTTTTTTTTGTTGTTGTTGTTGACTAGCTTAGCGTCTTGTACTTTCCCCATTTTAAAGAGAAAAAGTTTCGGCTGCAGACGCGACTACATTAAATTGCTCTGTTTCTACCAAATAAAAGGTCTATGGGTTAATAGGGAAGCAGGTTAATCAGCGATGAATCCACGATAACCAGTTAATAAAGGTAACCAGTACCTATTGCGCTCTCACAGTTTGCTCCATCGAACTCCGCTGGGCAATCACAGCGGTAGCTTCCAACGAGATCCACGCACGTACCTCCATTTTGGCATGGTGCCGGTGTACACTCGTTGATGTCTGGAAATTTTATTTTTACAAAGGATAGAAGTGAGTATTCTGTCGATAATGGTGGAATAGAAAGGGGAGAAGAGGAAATAGTCTCTGAAGCTTTACTGTTCAGCTTTATTGATGTCAAGAAACACAAGTTATAGTAAGTACAATGGAGTGCAGCAAAAACACATTTTAATCCATGTAATGCAACCTATGTTTGAAGGGTATTCACTACATAAGTTCCAAGTGCGACATTTTTTCTTGTTGCTTTTTCGTTTCCTTTTTGTGTGTTTGGAGTTCATTTATTTAGTCTATTCACTCTGTAATTATACTTGTTTCATTAGCGCTTTTCTTTGTCATTTCGCTGTCGCCTCGTTGTTGTCGCTTTGTGCTGCCTGCACAATTAATATCAAGTCATGTCTGTTTTCTCGTTTTCGCTAAGCGCAATTTAGTAATGTTTCTGTGGCCGTAGCAATGTAAGTATTGGAACCGTTTGTTATGTTCTCTAGTTTCAACCAACGTCAGCTGATCAAGATTAAAGTGAATTGCATTTGCACGAAAGACGCGAATTGTTAATTTCGGAGCCGTAGACCACAGACTTCGTATAATTGCAGTTTCACACTACATATTCCTTTATTACTAAGATCCACTTCCCTTCAATTTAAGCACATCAATCTACGAACATAATGCTTGAACTTGCTGTGTTATCTTTCAAACTGATTTTTCTTAGGCCCGGTTCAGACGCCGATCTTTACATGAGCGGAACCTAATTCCCAGAAAAGATCGGCGTCTGAATCAATTTGGGACGGATATTTCAATTTGGAACGGCTCACCCGTTCTTCCCGCCTGGCTTGGCCGAGAATTTCGCCTTTAGAACGCCTTTGGAACGGCTTTAATTCAGACGCCGTACTTTTCATGTGTCGATCCTTGTGCATAAATTGTTATACCGTATTTTGCAAGCAGTTTGACTGGTTTCATTGGAACTGAATTTGAAACGGCCAAAAAGAACGGCGTCTGACTCAGCAGGCGTAATTTTGTTAATTTGGGTCGGTCCAAATTCGAACTGAGTTGGGCGCATGAAAAGTTCGAGGTCTGAACTGGGCCTTACTTGTTTCGCAATGGTTTCCATTGTAGCCAGTCTGGCAGTCGCAGCGATAGCTTCCCTGAAGGTTGGTACAGGTAGCTCCATTTAGGCATGGACTGTTCGAGCATTCATCAACATCTGAAAATAATAGAAGGTATGGTGCGTTTAATTTAAAAATCGTTAAGCTCCAGCCGCTTCCTGCGGGCTGTTTAACAGAACAGAACACAGTCGAGGAGTCTTTATTTGCTAATGATTTAGTGTTATTCATTTACTTCACAATACTTCCTATCCTTTTACGTCATTATTTTTATTTCATAAGGCCTTCTTTGCAATTAATATATATATATATGTGTGTGTGTGTGTGTGTGTGTGTGTGTGTGTGTGTGTAGGTAATCACATGATTTCGAATGCAATTTGGAATAAGTAAGTAAGAGTAAATATTTTCAAAGACTAACAAAATTGCATGAGCCCATAGGGCGAGTGCAGTTTGTGGTCTTTGAAAAAAATTCACAAGGGTTTATTTATTACAAATTACAAGTGAAAAACCATGTGATTATGTATTAATCATACATGAAAAAATACGAGGTAGCTTATCATAATTATGCAGAAGAAATGTGCGCGCATCACGTGCAAAAATAATTTATTCAAACCCAGCAAGTGACATTGTGCGTTCGGTCAAAACAACCGCGTACGACCAGAACAATAAGATCAAACGAAATTTTCACATCTTTAAGGTGCAAAAAAGTTCAAGGTCCGGCCAAACAGTTCAAGGAATTGTTCAGTGAGTTCGATATTTCTGTGAGTTTCTATTATTGTTGACCAATCAGAATGTCTGGTTTGTTACTTTCTTTGCACTGAATTAACCCTCTTTTGCACTGAATTAACTCTCTTCTGCACTGAATTACCTGAAGACTGCATTTATCGTAACCAATCAGAACTGAGTATGTTTTCATGTATATTATTAATATATATACAAAAACGTTGAGTCAAATTTAATGAATAAACTTCTGTACTTTTTAGCATGACTTCTTTTTTAAAAAAAAAAGTGTATAGTGTGTATTCAGGAAAATCATAAAACAAAACAGACTTACTTTCGCTTTGACGACCCAGAACCACACTTTCTTAAGAAATAAACCTCTTAAACCTGTAACATAGTAACGTTAACTAACTAACTGACTGTTAAACGGCAGCTTCGCACCCGTTTCACAGTTGTTTCCACTATATCCAGTTTGACAATCACAGCGATAGCTTCCCAGGAGGTTGACACAGGTGGCTCCGTTCTTACATGGATTGTTGGAGCATTCGTTTACATCTGTTCAGAAATTAGAAAACACCATCAATTCTTGACAGTCGACAAATACCGCACAAATGTTGTGAACGAAATCTTGTGTCAATTTAGTGACACAAATAAGAACGAACATTTTGTGAAAAGACAGTTTCCAAATTTACCTGATTCACAGCTGCTTCCCGTATATCCAGTTTTACAATCACACCGATGACTTCCTTGAAGATTTACACATGTTGCCCCGTTTTTGCAAGGATTCTTACTGCACTCATTAACATCTGTAAAATGAAAATACAAGAAAAGAAAGAGTATGGAATAAGTTACTCTTAAAACCTTTTCATACGTTTCAGCCCACCCCGTGGGACAAAAACATTCCCTTTCGGATTTTTATCAGTTACGTTTCTGCTATTTTCCAAACGCCTGTGAGAAAGAAGGGTTCCTTTCGGCCAATCCACCGGCTGAACAAAATTCCAAACGTCTCCACTGAGACCAACAAAGAAAAAGCAACCCTAAACCATCATATTAACATATATTTAGTGAATAATTTAAATTTGAAGATTGACACCAATCCATACCTGTCTCACAGTTGTTTCCAAAATATCCAGAAGCACAATCACACCGATAGCTTCCTTGGAGGTTGCCACAGTTGGCGCCGTTCTTACATGGACTGTTGGAGCACTCGTTTATATCTGTTCAAAAAATCAGAGTGAAACATCAAATCTTGACAGGCCTCAACCGCCACACAACCATTTTAAATTAAACTTTATTTCCATCCACTAGCATGAACAAGGAGGAAGATTATAGCAAAAAAATTAATTTTCCTAATTTACCTGATTCACAGCTGCTTCCCGTGTATCCAGTTTTACAATCACAACGATGACCTCCCTGGAGATTAACACATGTACCCCCGTTTTTGCATGGACTGTTACTGCATTCATTAACATCTGTAAGATAAGATCACAAGAAAGAATGGAAGTGAGATTTATTACTCTTAAAACTTACACACACTCAGACCACCATGTGAGAGAAAATTCTTCTTTATTCTTGAAGTTTTCGCTATTTTCAAGTAACGTGAGAGAAAGAATACACTGTATTTTTAATCCAACTACCCCTTCAGAATGAGTGCAGCAAGGACACGCATTGTAATTTTTTTATACCTGATTCACTGTGGTTTCCAGTGGATCCAGATTTGCAATCACGACGGTAACTTCCCTTGAGATTGACACAGGTGGCTCCACTTTTGCATGAGCTGGTATTGCACTCGTTTTTATTTGTGATAACATGAGATTCAGAGATTGGATACCATTTTTTAATCCACCTACCTCTCCGAGATGAGTGCAGCAAGAACATGCATTGTAAAACTTCCTTTATACGCGATACACAGTGGTTTTCAGTGTATCCAGATTTGCAATCACAGCGGTAACGTCCCTGGAGATTGATTAATTCATTTGGCTCCATTTTTTCCGGGATTAGTGCTGCACTCGTTTTTATGTGCGATAATATGACTCTGAAATATTTTTCTCCTTAAAAATCAACATTTTTTCATCACAGTAGGATTCTTCGAGGTTTTTTTATCATATTGTTCATCATATTGTATTAATCGTCATCGTTATTGTTTTTGCATTGTGGTCATGTATCATCATCAAAATTTCGCATAAACTCAAGTGGGTTGTTGGTCTGTAATGTTAGCTGACCCTTAGCTGGATTTGTATTTGGAAACTTGTATAGATATGTGACTTATTTAGTTTTCATACCTGATTCGCAGAGATTTCCATTGTAACCAGATTGACAGTCACAGCGATAACTTCCCTTAAGATTGACACATTTCCCTCCGTTCTTGCAAGGATTATTTGCGCACTCGTTTACATCTATAAGCAAAATGAAACGTATTTCGTTAACAACACTTTTTTAACAATTAGATTTTAGGTGTCTAGAACCATTTTAAACAACGCCCTTTTTCCATAAGCCTAGTTGTTTCTAGAGGTCACCTCGTCATACATTGAACTATCGATAAATTATTAATATATAAGGTAAAAAGACAAAAAAAAAATTTAATTTGTTACGGAATAGCCGACCCACAGCCAATGTATGTGGTTACATAAAAGTATATATTCTCACCTGTTTTGCAGTTCTTTCCAGTGTATCCAGATTTGCATTCACAGCGATAACTTCCTTTAAGATTTACACATTTAGCTCCGTTTTTGCATGGACTTTTCGAGCATTCATTTATGTCTGCACGGTAATGTTTCGTTCGGTCAATTTTTTTTTCGTTCAGAAAAAAATGTTTTTGACGAATAAATGTGCAACCAAAAGGATCTTTTAAGGGGATGGGACTCTGTCTCACTACTGTGTTATCGAGTCAAAAGAATTCCCAGAGATGGCCCTTTAATCAACTACTAATTTCGCTTAGAACTCTTTAAAATAATATACAAGCCTAAGCTACTTTTACCATTTAGATAGATTATTTCGTATACGATCTTTATGTCACCATCCACTGACCTAACTGGACCTTTGGAGTTTTTGAGATACTTAAATTGAATACCGTACTATTATGTATCGAAGTAACTGCTAGTCATATGGCAAATTCACTTACCAGCCTCGCAGTTCTTCCCTGTAAATCCAGATTTACAGGTACACTTGTACGTTCCCGGTTGATCGGAACACTTTGCACCGTTTTGACAAGGATTCTTGATTCTGCACTCATCTACCCGTATACGTGGAAGCAAAAGCAAACAATGTTTAAGTGATGAGGTGTCTGGTTGTTGTTGTTTAGGTTGTTACTATATCGCGCAATTTTTTTTTCTCTGTTTCCAGGCTTTCGTATTTTTGCATTAGGAAAGATACACTGCACAGTGTACATTTTTGTCTGATAAGCTGATAAACAAGAATTAGTTGTTCACAAGGGCTATTTACTCACCCACATTCATCTTGCAGCACTTGAAATATTCGATACAGTGCAAATAGTCACATCCTCCTCTGAAAATTCCGGCCAAATAGTAACCTTCTCTCTGACACTTGCTGAGGCCTCTTATGTCAAACGATCTTCCGACATTCTCATTGTAGCAGTGTTCATATCTATCTGGAAAACCATTTGGTTTACAGCATTTTCCCATCTCGAGGTGATGCAACCAAGCATCGTTATTTCGGTAAAGACCTCTCACGAAATAACCAGCAGGACACACAGCCCACGAGTTCGTTCTTGGGAAAGGAAAATAGAAGGAAAGTTATTCCTCTACATTGTATCCATATTTGTGTTATTGCGAATAAAGATATCTATTTTGATGATGCTGAAATTTTAATTACTGGTAATATTGAATTTATTGATTGATATATATACTTTGGGGATTACTTACTTATCGAGAACACCCCACCAGTTTGCATCTCTGCAAGTCGATCCCGTGTTTTGAAACGGAGCAGGAGCTGGGCAGCACTTTGCTTCCTCTATTAAGAAGATCTTATCTTTTTTTCCCCAATTATTATTCCGATATAGTCCAGTGATGTAATGTTTTGTTGAATCACATTGGACCCAGCCCTTTTTGTCAAAAGCTTTCCACCAATTTACCATCTTGCAGCCATCGTGCATCATGCAGCATTTGAATTTTTCGATACAATACAACTTATCGCAGCCTCCTCTGTAAACGCCCGTCAAGTAATGGTCGCTATCGCACTCACTCCAACCTTTGTTGTCAAATGAAGAGGAGACGTCATGGTCATAACAGCGCATGTAGCTACTTGGTAGGTTGTTGGGCTTACAGCATTGGCCCTCCTCTATGTTGTGAAGGTTGTGGTTTTTGCTGCGGTACAGCCCTTGCAAAAAATACCCAGTTGGACAAACGGACCATAGATTATTCCTGAAGATGAAGATACATAAAAGTTTGCTTTCTTTTTAAGAAAAACTTTAATCTCTAAATAAAATGAATAATTATCTCATTTCCAATATGTGCATTCATAAGAGTAGAATAATTCAGTAACCCTGGAATGAACTTTGTGAGACCAACGTCTCCTGCTCCTGATTAACACTTACAAATTAAACTATTCTTCTCAATATACCTGCATCCATCAGAAGAACTTGCATTAAAACTAACATTGTCCTTCCCAAGAATTAACGCTACCACAATGACGGCAAAAGTGAATAAAAAAATGCAATTCTTCATGCTAACTTCTTTACATCACTCCTCTCGTTATCTTAATAGCGATCACCGATGTTAAACAGTGTTTATCAGACGGTGGGCGAGAAATGAACCAGCAGTTGCCGGAAGTGGTGTTGGCAAAGAATTCTATGCAAGAAGATACTCACTTGTCCAATGAACCCCACCAGTTTGCCTTTTTACAAGTAGACGCTCGGTTTTGATTTGGTGGAGGTGCCCTACAGCATCTTCCTTCTTCGAGCAAATAAATCGGGTCGTTTTTGTTTTTGTTATTTCTATAAAATCCTTTCAGATATTCAATAGTAGATCCACACTTGGACCATCCCTGTTTGTCAAACGAGCCCCACCAGTTTGCTGTTCTACACTGGCTCCAGCACAAGTCGGTCATCATCAAAGAGACCAAGCAATACAAGAAAACCTTCATCTTGACTTTAAAGTTGACTTACTACCGTACCTGCGGAGACAGTCGAAAATATCAGAACTTTCCTGAGCCATACAAGATCAGACATACCAGTTACATCATGGATGACTTTCTTAAAGACATCGGGCCAACCTTCCACTTTTCAAGTGGGTGGACTATTAACATAAAGGAATTAATTTCTCCAAAGCTAATTGCAACCCGAACAGCTTTCATTCAGAAAGTATCGACCTCCTGACGTCAGATACCGTTTTCATGATAAAACTTGTTTCACCAAACCTCGACAGACAATGATTAGGGAACATACTAAGAACTTATGATGCACGATCCTCGCAGTAGATAGCGCTATTTATGCAACAGCGAAAATCAGACCTGAAAAAAATCAGGCCTGTACGGCCTGATACAGGCCTCTGCGCTAGTATCGCAGAGGTCAGTGGTTCGAGTCCCGTACAGGCCTGATTTTTTTCAGGTCTGATTTTCGCTATTGCATAAATAGCGCTATCTACTGCGAGGATCGTGCATCATACGTATCTAATACCGCAGTTCAAAATATATGAACTTCATATATTTATTGTATCTCATACTAAGAACAATTATACATGGGACAAGAAAGAAAACAAAAACAAAACAAAAAAAAAAGAAAAACGCGCAAAAATCGGATTATCAATCAGTCATTGTTTAACAACACCCAAAGAATCACTTTCAAGTTAAGAGTTCGTAACATTTGAATATTTTCGGATAACACCAGAGGTATACGCAAGAATCGAGCATGACGGTGGATGGTTACGGAAGGAGAACATTAATAACTCTTTTCAGTGGCTAAACTATAATCTCTTTCAAAGATACCTTCGATTCCTTTGTTTTGAGAAATTCTTCAAAAATAAATGTATAATCGAATCAGCACCTGAAAACAGGCATTCCTCTTTCGTGAACTCGCACCACTTAACACACAATAATCACAAAATTCATTGGAAGAGGTACTTTTCGAAGCCGAGATTTTAGCTTTTCCATTTGGGGAGAGTTTCTGACCGCCTTATGTACGTGAAGGGATCGAAATTGTCAAAGTCGTTAATCTTCTTTCGAAAAACTCAACATACAAACGCGAGCCAATTAAGATAGGATTTCCCGGTGAAGCTGATTACCGCAAAAAGTTCAACATTGAATTTACGCCAAACGGAGATCTAACTAACCTCATGATTTAGTTATCGTTTTTTATGATATCATGTTTTTCTTAATAACTCACGCGATTTTCAATTTTCTTTTAAGTTATTAGCTTATATTTGAGGATCGAAAAAAGCATTGACTTAAATTGTCCGAAGTAAGTTTGGACTACTATGGGTTAAAATTAATAATGTGACTTACTTTGTGGGTTCCTCTTCTTCTGGATTTATGGAACGAACGATGGTTTGCGACCTTTCAAAATACTGTTTAGAATTAATCGTATGATCACGATTCCATAATTTGTTATTGTATGTTTTGTCATGGATATTGCCTTTTGTATTATGTGCGCAATGGGCAGTTGAATCAACATAAGCGCGTTAGAAGCTAATTAATTAACTTTTAGCAAAGTGATTGTAAGTCACGTTTCTTAACAAGCAAAGTACGAATCCTAGAATGAGATAGGTGACAAAATGAAAATCTACTCTAGCCTACCTTTCCTTTCGCTTTTGGAAAAATATATTTCAATTTCGCAGACAATCAATTTGGCGCATGATAATGAAAGGCCGAGTAAGCAGTCAAATTAGTGAAAATCAAACCTTTGCCTTGACCAAAAAATGTAAAGCTTGAGGCTGACTGCCTACATCAATGCTAATCTCAGAGTATTTTTACCTTATTTTTTTCCTATTCCTTAAAGTGATAAGCTTTATCCGAAAGTTGGTTTCATCTCACCTGTTAATTAGAACAGTACAACCTGAAAGCTTCGCCGCCCCGCTGTTTCAATATTTGTTAAATTATCAAAATTCAATTCGTACCTTGAGCTAATTCAAATCAATGACAAATTTTGAAGAAGAAATTTCCACGAGTTTGAAAGACTCAAAATGAATTGTGTTTGTCTAACTGGGTATGTTCAAGTCTATCCAATTATTTTCTCGTGAATTCTTGTAGAGATGAATATATATTTGAAGAAAATAGAAATGCCGTGTTGAGAACACCGCAAAATATACTTTAGCTCATTTGTTAGTCAAGAATAATTTGTAATACATATTTTCTGACACTTTTGGATGTATCTTTATTTCTTCTACTATTTTGTCACCTTCCTGTCTCTCTCAGTCACACATTAGCTAATCATGTTTTCCGTACTGAACTTTTAATAAAACAAAAAACTAAAATCATAATAACGTTACACTTTTGTCTAATTAAGGCATTTAAATAGCAATAGCAAAAGTTTTGAAAAAAACAAAGAAAGCCTTCTATTCTTTTTTTTTTTTTTGGACATACTACTATACTACAGAATTTCGCTACAAAAAAAAAAATCAAGAGAACGTACCATTTTTGCGGAAAATGAAATACGATTGGTGCAAATAATATTGTAATATAGTTTTAAATCAAATGTTACTGACGCCAACGTCCTTTGTAATCCCAATTATAAAGAAGTAAGAAGAAAGAATATTATAGCTGATCCTTTCATTGCGTTGAACAAGGTTTCGTACATATTGATGAGAAGCCCTGAATACAAAACGTTACATGCAGTTCAAACAGAATTTAAACTCCAACACCACATATTCTCACGGTTTTAATGACACTTTACGCAGTGACACCAGATATACAAACATTTATTTGATATCTCATTCTGAAGTCATTCCTCTTTTTAGCACTCGGTAAAGAGCAAAGGGATTTGTTTGGTTTTATCAACTGAATTTGAGAAATCTAGTTAACCCTTCGTCAGAACAAATCGAGGAATTGTTGCTTATACGTGGTTTATATACAAAATTAAAAACAGAAACAAAAAAACTGAAACAAAAAACTTAACAAAACAAAACAAAAATTCGTTTAAGTAATCTCAATTGGTCCGATCCTTCTGACTTGAATTTCTTCCACTTGGTAACGTATCATTAATATATGATAAAACGTGCTGTTTTGAATGCCAAGTGCAAAGAAGAAAACGTGGGAAATTCAATGTTTAGTCAGGTGCTAAACGAGCTGAAATGTAGTGATTTCATTGGTTAATACAGTGCCATGACAAGAATCCTGGGTCGATTCCTCGACATAGGAACTCTGGGTTCCCGGCCGAAATTAGATTCTACGTCTATCCCACGAGCTTTCGTGAACGGTAGGAGGAGGGAAAAATAAAATATCAAAGATGAAAGAATACACGGAAAATTGGGACCGACGCGTTCATCTTGTAGTTTTTTTGCTGAAGAGCCACCTTTCCATATTCACTCTCCAGGTGAGGCCGAATAAGACAATAAAAACCACTTTTAAAGGTCAGGCTCGGAGTTCTCTTTTTGTTTCTTTTGTTCCGCGATAAAATTTCTGAAACAATGTTTAAAAAAAAAAAACAAAAAAAACAAGTTTATCGATATCTGTTATGTTAAAGGTTGGCATGACAATACAACATTCCAGAATGCAACTTTATTTTTCTGACTATGTAATACAGTTCAAATTGTTTCTGCCTGTCAGTCCTTACATTTTGGTTGAGATCAACCCATCTTTGTTTCTCCTCAACTAATTCTTCGCACTCATCCAGCTCTGGTTCTAGAAATAAACAGAAGCCATAAATGGAATATTAGATCTTAAGAAGTGCTCTCACACCTACTGGCAACTACTAGTCAGAGAGATTCAAATTGGCTCTTTGCTCTGGTTGGTTCGCTAAATTTCATAAAGCAGTTCTTGTTTCAGTGATGCTGCTGTTGCTGTTTTGAATTTTACACGTGTACTATACAGTCCATTCAAAAATGTGAATGAAAGGCAGCCAGACCAACTTTTTAAAATAGTATTACTGCGGAGTGAGTCATACTCGCCATATGATAACAGTGATAAACATCTCAAATTGTAAAATCCCGTCCATTTTGGAAATTAGAAATTTACTAAGAGGTACGCCCACGACATCTGGTTTTTAAAGAAAGAGAGGTCTACATAGCATTTTGTGGTTTGTCCTGTTTTACAAAGTAAAAGCAAAAAAACTAAAAAAAGGCGACCATTCACTATTTCTGTCATGACGTGATGAAAAGACGATCTATAGAATGTTCACAATCAGTAGTGAGTACGTTGTGAATACTGAGGCAAAAAAAAGTTTTTTACATAAGCAAAGCGTTCAAATCTCCCTGGATTAACTTATTTCACCAACATGGTTTCCGGTCGAGATATCTTGTGAAAATGATCCATGGTTAAAGGAGGACTCACCATTGCAGGTATTACCAAGCCATCCGGTCGCGCAATCACAACGGAAGCCATTAACAAGATCAACACAGGTGCCACCGTTCAAACAAGGATCCGGAACACATTCGTTGATATCTATAAATCCACAACATGGCCTCATATTTAAAATGAGTTTAAAACAAAGTGTCTCCTGAAAGAGGGTTTGATGCGAACGTCAAAATCATCCACGTGTACAATCATGAAAAAGCTATAGAGTCATGGAGAAAATATGCACTAAGTTAAAGTTGGTTCAGTCCGTTAAATAATCCGCTGATCACACAACCGATTTATCTTTTGAAAGTTTTGCTTTAGATATTAAAAAAAAAAAGTTGTATCATGGTAGCTTTAACAGAGGTTTTGTTTGCGCCAAAGCAATGGGCAGCCGAGCCGCAGGAGACACATTTTGTGTCTACAAAGCCGTATACCGCGCACAGAGCCTCTAGCTCCAAAGCAAGGTATTATGGCCCCAAAAAGCGGCAAAATACACTTTTTCACTTAAAAAGTCCTCAAAATTCCCTAAGAGTTTCCAAACCAATGGATATCAAAATGTTTATCTCACTCCAACCCCATATTGGTTGCTGAGAAAACCATGGGAACACAATTGGATGAAAATTATATAAAGGGTTGTACATTGCTTTTCAATCGGTGTAATTAAACGTTCCATTTTCATTTTCATAGTGTGTTATGTTCACCTGTTTCGCAAGAAATCCCTGAATAACCTTTTGCGCAGTCACAGCGATGACCTCCTGAAAGATTGACACAAGTAGCTCCATTTTTGCAGGGGTTATTTGTGCATTCGTTGACATCTGCAAAACAAGGATTGAAACTCTCTCAATACTCATTATAATGTTTTCGTGGTTGATGCAATTTTCCATCATGTTTTGAGCTCACAGTGTTAAAAATTAGTGAATTGGTGTACCAACATACTAGACGGATAAGTGTTGCCATCAAATTTCATAATTTGTATACGATCACTTCCTATGCTTTAAGTTTGTTTTTTTGTCATGCCTTGAGGTAAAAAAAAAGATCATGATAAAACTGTGTTGTCATTTGTAAAGGGGTTATTGGTAAGATCTTAGGAATGATGTGAGTATACAGTAAGTGATTCACCATTACCGACCTAATGTCCATTACCAAATGATAACATTTCTAAGAGAATATACCATTTTCACAGTTGTTCCCACTGAATCCAGATTTACAATCACAGCGATAACTTCCCTGAAGATTGACGCAGGTGGCCCCGTTCTTGCACGGGCTGTTCGAGCACTCGTTTATATCTGAAATGTATAAATCAAAATTTCTCTCCCTATGGTTTTATTTCCTAATGTTAAGATATTACCATTTTGATTGCAAATGGATCACGGCCACTAAAATGAATAAAGTAGAAAAACACAAAAACAAACCGTTTTGCGTGTACTTAGGCACTTCTAGCGTTAAAGTCTGATTCCAGTCTTCGTGCGGTTGTCACGAGTATTCTACACGAAATTTCATATGCGCGTAAAATTTGCTAAGGTAGAGGCATATGAACAGCATTTGAAAAGATTCCAAATCTCACACTCGGGCGTCTTACGAAGCGCCCAGGTAACAAAAGAAACACAATCTTGAATAAACAGACTGAAAAGTACTAAAAAGCATTATTATGAAGCCAATTATGTTTTATGCAGCTAATAATTTTATAAAATGGTGCCTTAAAAATGTGGAGCGCTTTTTATGAAGCCAATTATGTTTTATGCAGCTAATCATTTTATAAAATGGTGCCTTAAAAAATATGGAGCGCTTTTTAAGCGATCCATATTTCTTAAGGCATCATTTTATAAAATGATTAGCTGCATAAAACATAATTGGCTTCATATCTTAAGCACCATTTTTTTAAAGACAGTAGCAAAATGTTGGCAGTAATGGCACCCCATACGTATTCCTCGTTGTCTTCTTTTTTGCGAACCGTTATAAGGAACTCGCTGAGAAACTTGTTCAGCTCTTGAGGAGTCAATTCGTCCATTTGTCTCGTTTCGCCTTTCAAAACAAGAATTTCGGGGAACAGAGCTACATCGTGTTTGGTCTTTCTCTTGGTGTTTTCATTTTCCTGTCCGTCTATGAACTCTTCTACTGTTGAATCTAGGCTCTGAAAACGGTTAGTCTGATTTGAAGCCATCTTTCTAAAAGAAAATGCGCCTAAGCTCTTAGAAATGTGCTATTTGTCAGTCAAGAGGAGCGGCGAGCGAGCGACACAGTTTTTTTCGCTAGTGAAAATAACTATAATAGCCAATCAGAGCGTCGATACGTCGTTTTTCACTTGTGAAAAAAAAACGTATGACCAATCAGCTGGCTCCTCCAGTGCTTCTATTAAAATTGGTGCAGCCTGCTTCGCTCTTTTTCGAGGCACTCGTTCGCATCTGGTGACAATAATTACCAATTTTTAAGTCACAAAATAAAATTTCTCCTAATTGGTCCAAAATCAGTTTTAATTTACAATCCCATCAATAACGTCCCTGACTGAGATTGAAGCAGGCGAGCCTGGTCAGTGAACTGCTTGTTTACTCAAGCTTTCATTTTTATGAGTGAGATGAGAAGTTCAATTCCAGGCTGTTTTCATCTCTAGTTTGCGTCCGTTCGGTTGGAAAAGTTGGTCGAAACGTTATTCGGCAATGACTGCGCGAAGAAATGAAAGTACACCTTGCAGTTCATCAGCTATCGATATAAAACCAAAAAATGCTTAAAGGTTATATAGAGCTACAGTTTCACCTTGATCGCAGTTGGTTCCAGAATAACCAGGTTTACAAGCACATTGATAACCTCCCTCGACATTGCTGCAGGTAGCTCCGTTCTTGCACGGATTTTGTGAACACATATCTACAACTAAACACAAAATGTGCCATTTTTGGTGGCTGTTGTTGTTCAAATGTCACGATTTATAAAAGAACGAAAGTGAAAACCGTACAAATATTCAATTTTTATTTAAAAATGCATCCTTTCCACTTGCGTGGAGGACAAAACCATGCGAATCACGACTCAAAACCAAAGTCATAGCTGTCGAAAATAGCTCTTTCCACTTTCTCATAATGAACCAGTGAAATTTTTATTAACGTAATTGAGGAGTTTATCATATTTCCTCTTCATTTAATCTTATTTTTTATTTTACAATCGCAATGGATAGAAGAATGGTTTACCCTCCTTAAAAATAAAGGAACTTGATTTTACACTTTTACTAATAGCTTTCATCATATAAATGTAAACAATCCATAGGGGTAACACTTCCGGAGAGCCATTAAGCTAATAAAAGAAGAACTCCTGTCTGAAAACTTGTACCTGGACATCCATACACCTCTGTTCTCATTGATATGTGTTTATTCCAGGAGACTGGGCGGAACCGGATAAAACGTGTCATTTTTGGTGGATTAAGTGAATGATAAACAATGGTATTCTGGTCTTTGTTTGCAACAAATTCCTGTGTATGAAAAATCCAGGAAAAAAATACATCACTTAAAAATTAGATGGCATGACTAGAAAAAGAAGTCCTCGATCTGTTTCTAGTATGAAGGTTTATTCACATAATAGCTACTGGCAAACCGGATTCGAGCCGATCACAAACAAACTCGTAAAGAACCAGCTGCAAGTAGACGAACAAAGTTTGGTTCGAGACCATCTTCCAAACATTTAACTCTATGAGATAGAATAAATATATGAAAATCATATATTGAACTGCGGTATTTGATACGTATGATGCACGATCCTCGCAGTAGATAGCGCTATTTAAGCAATAGCGAAATTCAGACCTGAAAAAAATCAGGCCTGTACGGGACTCGAACCACTGACCTCTGCGATACTAGTGCAGCGCTCTAACCAATTGAGCTAACAAGCCAACTGAGAGCAGGCCGTTAAGTTGATTCGTAATGAACCCGTGAAAGTGATAAATGAGATAGAATAAATATATGAAAATCATATATTGAACTGCGGTATTTGATACGTATGATGCACGATCCTCGCAGTAGATAGCGCTATTTAAGCAATAGCGAAATTCAGACCTGAAAAAAAAATCAGGCCTGTACGGGACTCGAACCACTGACCTCTGCGATACTAGTGCAGCGCTCTAACCAATTGAGCTAACAAGCCAACTGAGAGCAGGCCGTTAAGTTGATTCGTAATGAACCCGTGAAAGTGATAAATGAGATAGAATAAATATATGAAAATCATATATTGAACTGCGGTATTTGATACGTATGATGCACGATCCTCGCAGTAGATAGCGCTATTTAAGCAATAGCGAAATTCAGACCTGAAAAAAATCAGGCCTGTACGGGACTCGAACCACTGACCTCTGCGATACTAGTGCAGCGCTCTAACCAATTGAGCTAACAAGCCAACTGAGAGCAGGCCGTTAAGTTGATTCGTAATGAACCCGTGAAAGTGATAAATGAGATAGAATAAATATATGAAAATCATATATT